CTACACCTTTGTAGTATAACTTGAAATCTGGAATTGTGATACCTCCAGTTTTGCTTTTCTTTTTCAAGATTGCTTTGGCTATTTGGAGTCTTTTGTGGTTCCATACAAATTTTAGGATTGTTTGTTCTAGTTCTGTGAAAAATGCTATTGGTATTTTGATAGGGATTGCATTAAATGTGCAGATTACTTTGGGTAGGATGAACATTTTAACAATATTTGTTCTTCCAATCCATGAGCATGGATTATCTTCACTTTCATCTTCTTGGTTAAGTTTATTCCTAGGTATTTTATTATTTTTGGTGCAATTGTAAATGGGATTATTTTCTTTTCTTTTCTTTTTTTTAGATTTTATTTATTTATTTGACAGAGAGAGAGAGTGGCAGACAGAGGGAGAGGGAGAAGCAGGCTCCCCACTGAGCAGGAAGCCCGATGTGGGGCTTGATCCCAGGACCCTAGGATCATGACCTGAGCCAAAGGCAGATGCTTAACTGACTGAGCCACTCAGGCGCCCCTGGGATTGTTTTCTTAATCTCTCTTCCTGCTGCTTCATTATTAGTGTATATAAATGGGACAGATTTTGTATCTTGTGACCTTACTGAATTCATTTATCAGTTCTAGTAGGTTTTTGGTGGAGTCTTTAGGATTTTCTATATATAATATCAGGTCATCTGCAAATAATGAAAGTTTTACTTCTTCCTTATCAATTTGGATGCTTTTTATTACCTTTTCTTGTCTGATTGCTGTGCCTAGAACTTCCAGTACTATGTTGAATAAAAGTGGTGAGAGTGGACATTCTTGTCTTTTTCCTGACTTCAGGTGAAAAGCTCTCAGTTTTTCACCATTGGGTATAATGTTAGCTGTCAGTTTTTCACATATGGCCTTTATTCTGTTGAGGTATATTCCCTTTAAACCTACAATTGTTGAGGGGTTTTATCATGAATCGGTGTTGTACTTTGTCAAATGCTTTTTCTGCATCTACTGAAATGATCATATGGTTTTTATCCTTCTCTTATTGATGTGATGTATCATTTTGATTGTTTTCAACTATTGAACCACACTTACATTCCAGAGATAAATCCCACTTGATCTTGGTGGATCATTTTTTAAATGTATTGTTGGATTTGTTTTGCTAATATTTTGTTGAGGATTTTTGCATCTATGTTCATCAGAGATATTGGCCTGTAATTCTCTCTCTCTTTTTTTTTTTTTTTTTGTAATGTCTTTACCTGGTTTGGATATCGGGGTAATGCTGGTCTCATAGAATGAATTTGGAAGTCCTCTTCTATTTTTTGGAATAGTTTGACAAGAGTAAGTATTAACTCTTTTTTAAATGTTTGGTAGAGGGGGGCGCCTGGGTGGCTCAGTCATTAGGCATCTGTCTTCGGCTCAGGTCATGATCCCAGGGTCCTGGGATCAAACCCTGCGTCAGGCTCTCTGCTCAGCGAAAAGCCTGCTTCTCCCTCTCCCACTCCCCCTGCTTGTGTTCCCTCTCTCGCTGTGTCTCTCTCTGTCAAATAAATAAATAAAATCTTAAAAAAAAATAACATAAATGTTTGGTAGAGGGACACTGTGTAGCTCAGTTGATTTTGTTGGGGAATCTCTGTGCCTCCTGGGTGTGGATTTGTTTCCTTCCCCAAATTCAGGAAGTTTTCAGCTATTATTTCTTTAAATAAATTTTGTGTCCTCTTTTCTCTCTCTTCTCCTTCTGGGATCCCTGTAATGTGAATGTTATTACACTTGATGGTGTTGCTGAATTCCTTAAGTCTATTCCCATTTGCATAATTTTTTTTCTCACCTGCTCATCTTGATTACTTTCCATTACTCTGCCCTCTAGGTCTCTGATCTGCTCTTCTGCTTCCTCTAGTCTACAATTTCTTCCATCTAGTGTATTTTTAAATTTCATTTATTGTGTTCTTCATCTCTAATTGGTTCTTTTTTTCTTTGTTAAGAGTCTTGCTGATGTCCTCCACTCTTCCCTCAAGTCCAGTGAGTATCTTTATGATCATAATTTTAAATTCTGCATCAGGCATATTCCTTATGTCCATTTTGCTTAGGTCTTCTGCTGTGATTTTTGTCCTGTTCTTTCATTTGGGACATATTCCTTGTCTCCTCATTGTGTCTAACTCTCTGTCTGTTTCTCTGTGTTGAGACAGTCAGCTAGGTCTCCTGCTCTTGAAAGCAGTGGTCTTATGAAGAAGAAGTCCTGTGGTGCCCTGCAGTGCAATGTGCCCTGTTCACTGGAATCTAGTGCTTCAGGGGTGTCTCCTCCGCGTGTTGCATGTGCCCTACTGTTATGGCTGAGCCACTTTTTCCTTCAATCCAATCATCTGCTGTGGCTCTCTACCTGTTGTAGGCAGTGTTTGGTCCCTGTGGTGTTAGTGGGCCAGTCTGGGACTGCCTTAGGTTTGAGTTGAGTCAGACCAGGTGTTTGCCAAAGATGCAGTAGCACCAAACTGCAGGGCACTTTCCCCATGTTGTCCCCTGAAAAGCTTTCACTGGTGTGCGAAGCCTGCTGTCATACCAGTTGTCTGCCTTCAGCCCACTTCTGGTGTCTAAGTCTGACTGGTATGTGTGGTTATCTTCCCCTCTCTCCAGGGCAGGAGTCACTTTGGAGTGGTGCTGGGCACTAAAGGGGCGGCTTGCACACTGCCAGGCCTGTGGCACCACCCAGGATGGGCTCCAGCCAAAAGCATATTGGAGGGAGTGGATATGCAACATGTGGGGAAGGGGAGTGTTGGGGAGGGAAGTGGTGTTAGCAAGGTTTGGGCCACTGGTTCTCTGCGGAAGTGGCCCTGCAGCTCTGGGACTGAGGCAGTCTTGACTGAAGAGAGTGGATCCACCAAAACAGAGCACAGAGTGGAACGGGGGATGAGGGGGCAGTGTTAGCAAGTTAGGTAGTATCAGCACCAGGAGGGTTCCTGCAGGTGGCCATGTGTTTATGCTGGGGGGCAAGGGAGGGAAATGGTGCCTGCCAGCTCCTTTATTCCTGGAGAAGTCTTCCAAGAACTCTGTCCCTTTGGGACATGCTCTAAGATGAGTAAACTGTTCTCCCTCCTGTGTGCCCCAGGCAGTTTTCAAACTGCTTCTTCTATGCTGTATCTCTGTTGGCTGTTTTTTTGTATTATCTCTTTTTTATTTTATTTAAATTCAATTAATTAACATAATGTATTATTTGTTTCAGGGGTACAGGTCTGTGATTCATCAGTCTCATATAATACCCAGTGCTCATTACAACACATACCCTCCCCAATGGCCATCACCCAGTTACCCCATCCCTCCATTGTGTTGTCTCTTTAAGGATGGGGACTCAGTTTCCTTTTGACCTTCTAGTTCTCCCAAAGCCAATCCCATTGATTTTTAAAATTTCAGGTTTTAAGTCCTGCTGGTTGTAGGAACTCACAATATTAGGACCCTCTGGTTTTCAAAGCCAAATGTTATGGGGATTCATCTTCCTATACAGGCTCATCTGTGTAAGGGTCTGCTTCTCTCCCCTCTCCAAGCCCATGGTGTCCCTCCCTCCCACAGACAGTCCTGCAGGCCCATTTAGCTTTTAACTGTGTCTCCGTCCTTCTTTCCCCTTTCAGTGTGGCTGCTTCTCTATATTTAGTTGTCAAGTTTATTCTGCCTGTTTTCAGGTTATTTTCTGGGTTATTTGCTGGTGTGAGTGCTATCTAGTTTTTACCTATGGAATAAGATGAACTTAGGGTCCTACTCTGCTATACTCTTTTTCATTGTTTTGTTTTTTTTTTAAAGATTTTATTTATTTATTTATTAGAGAGCAAGCGAGAGAGAAACAGCATGAGAGAGGAGAGGGTCAGAGGGAGAAGCAGGCTCCCCACTGAGCCGGGAGCCCGATGTGGGATTCAATCCCAGGACCTGGGATCATGACCTGAGCCGAAGGCAGTTGCTTAACCAACTGAGCCACCCAGGCGCCCACTTTTTCATTGTTTTTGAATCTAAGAAATATTAAGATGTTTGAAGGCCACGAAGAAGATGCCAAATGTAAAGGGAGACATTAAAAATACAGAAAAAGTGAAATAGAATAACCCAATAATTAAGACTCCAAGGCTTTGCACGTTACTGTTCCTCTCTTACCACAGACTCCCTTCCATTTACTCCATCAGGCCATCTACCACTTGTTCAGGTTTCAAATCAGAAATCATGTCCTGCAAAAAAATCTTACAGAATCCCCACTCTGTATTTCCAAAGCGACTGAAACTTATCCTACTGGATTTAATGACATTGTGGATTTGTTAGACTCCCTCACTAAAGACCAAGTCTGATTAATCCTTGCAGCCCCAACCTGAGGCTGAGGACTTGGTGCACATAGTAGGAGGTTCTCAATTAATGTTTGCTGAATAAATGCTTTAAAGATAGAGATGGTTATGCAACCATAAAATCAGGATGGAATCTTCTTTTTCTTGAAGGAAAACACTTAAAACCATCATTTCAGTGGTCTTGACTTAACTATGGTAGGAATTCTTATAGCTCCTTTATTATATTTGAAGGCTGAAAGGGAAAGTATAAAAGGAACTAAATACTCTATAATTTAAAATACTAGTTGAGGGATGCCTGGGTGGCTCAGTAGGTTAAGCATCTGCCTTCAGCTCAAGTCATAATCCCAAGGTCCTAGGATCAAGTCCCACATGGAGCTTCTTGCTCAGAGGGGAGCCTGCTTCTCCCTCTGCCGGCAGCTCCCCCTGCTTGTGTGCTCTCTCTCTTGCTCTCTCTCTAACTCTCTCTCTCTCACTCTCTCTGACAAATAAATAAATAAAATCTTAAAATAAAATAAAATAGTTGATTCCAAAGGTAGTGGGTTGTGGAAGGCAGCCGTTTCAAGTCAGAAATGTAATCAGAAAATATGCTCTTTTCCTTTATGGCTTTAGATTTACTGTCCCAGAGAATTAATGTTTGTTTTAGAAAATATATTATTGATATAATTATTATATTATATATAATATATATTTTTTATATATAATAATTATATATAATATACTCACATTTCACGTGGGTCAGGAACCACAGCATGGCTTAGTTGAGTCCTCTTGGTCAGGGTCTCTCACAAGGCAACCATCAAGATGCTGGGCTGTACAGATCTTCCTTGACTATAGTGGGATCACATCCCAATAAACCCACTGTAAATTAAAAATACCATTATGTCAAACATGCATTTAATACAACCAACCTACAAAACATCATAGCTTAGCCTACCTTAAAATGTGTTCAAAACGCTTACATTAGCCTAGAGTTGGGCAACATCATCCAGCACAAAGCCTATTTTATAATAAAGTGTTGAACATATCATGTAATTTATCAAGTACTGTACTGAAAGTGAAAAACAGCATGGTTGTGTGGGTAAGAATCGTTATAAGTGTATTGGTTGTCTACCCTTGTGATCGCCTGACTGACTGGGAGCTTCGGTTTACTGCCACTGCCCAGTATCATGAAAAAGCATGGTACTGCAGATTGCTAGCCCTGGAAAAGATTAAAATTAAAAATTCGAAGTATAGTTTCTACTGAATGTGTGTGTATTGCTTCTTTACCATTGTAAAGTGAAAAAATTGTAAGTAAAACCATCATAAGTTGGGGACCGTCTGTATTTATCTCAAAGATCAGCTGAAGGAAGAATGTGTTTCCAAGCTCACTCATCTGGTTGTCCACAGGAGTTAGCTTCTCGTGGTCTATTTCACTGAAGGCCTCAGTTCTTTGCAGACTGCTGCCTCAAGGCCTCCCTCAGTTCCTTGCCACGTGGGCTTTTTTGTAAGGTATCTCTCACAACATGGCAGCTACCTTCATCAGAATGAACAAGTGAGGGGCGCCTGGGTGGCTCAGTTGGTTAAGCGACTGCCTTCGGCTCAGGTCATGATCCTGGAGTCCCGGGATCGAGTCCCGCATCGGGCTCTCTGCTCAGCAAGGGTCTGCTTCTCCCTCTGACCCTCTTCCCTCTCGTGCTCTCTGTCTCTCATTCTCTCTCTCAAATAAATAAATAAAATCTTAAAAAAAAAAAAAAAAAGAATGAACAAGTGAGAACCAGAGAGAAAGTGTGAGCAAGATGGAAGTCACAGTCCTTTCTAACCTAATCTTGGAAATGACAGCCCATCATTTTTGCTGTATTTTATTTGTGAGAACCAAGTCACCTTTGGATTCAGAGAGAAGCCCATTCAGTGCTGAGTTTTAGCTTTTTCTCTCCCACACTGTAATTCCACTTTTAAAATTGGCCCAAAGCACCAGTGAAGAGATTTATGTGTATTTGCATAGTTTAACTGGTGATCCTGGGTAACCTGGAGTGGTAGTCTACCCCAGGTCCATGTCTTCCCTAAAGGATACCATGTCCCAGATTTCCTCTCAGTGACCAGCAGTACAAAGAACAGCACCATAAAGCTGACTAGATGCCCAGAAGAGAACTAAGTGGGCAGCTTAAGGGAAATGTGAGACTGAACTTCCCTATGATCTCTACACTGACCTCTGGAAGGGAAGGGGAGGTAGAGGCTTGGACTACAATTTGGTGGCAGAGTTTTTAATGGCTTATGGTTGGGGGAGGGGGTTGGAGACAGAAGAAAGGTCATCTATGAAAATAAAGAGAGGTGACTAGTAGGGTTAGAGAAATGAAAACAAAGAATATCTGAAATAGCCCTTTTTGAGAATGAGAAAATGAGCTGACTTCAAAAGACAGGATTGTGGGGCACCTGGGTGGCTCAGTCAGTTAAGCATCTGTCTTTGGCTCAGGTCATGATCCCAGGGTCCTAGGATGGAGCCTCATCATGGGCAGGGGGAGGGTTGGGTCCCTGCTCGGGGGGGGGGGGGTCTGCTTTTCCCTCTCCCTCTGGCCGCTGCTCATGCTCTCTCTCACTCTCTCAAATAAATAAAATCTTTAAAAAAAAAAAAAGGATTGTTGGGAGGTATGGCGAGTCATACTGAGCTGGTGCCAGTCAGTTGCTAGGATGGCAGTTTGCCCAGTGGCTTGATTCTCTTGAGCCAGGCTCAGACCCAGGTACAGATTTATAAGAGTTGGTGTCACCTCAGTGTTTTCTCTCTTACTGGGTTACCAACTCACTACAATTTGCTCAACTGGTTATAGATTTTTGCATCTATTTTCTCCACCTATAAAATGGAGAAATAAGGGGCCTGTTACTAGACCAAGAGAGCCTCTGCACTCCAGGATTGTGTTTGATAAGTCTCTTTCTCTCTCATATGGTTATGAGCCCCTTAAAGCTATGGACTATGCATTATGCATCTTTGTGTTTCAAATATCTCAAAATTATGATGGGTAAATGTTTGTGGAATAATGATGGAATGAATTTTAAAGCCTCTGGATTCATCAGCTATAGTCTGCAATTTCTTTGCTCCTTCAAACTAAGAAATTGTGAAAAATAGAAAAAACTTAAGAATTAGGGAAGACTTTTTTGGTTTATTAATAAAATGGGAAGAAAAAGAAAAAGATAAGACTGAGTTAGTCTGAAAACCCAACAACTTAAGACCTTAAAAGACAGCCTTCACTTTAAAAAGTAGTTAAATATGTAAAACATTTGGTTGATAAAAACAATGTATGTATATTTATATTCCATTCTTTTCCATAGGGATTTGACATAACTTTGTGTGTTTGTAGAAAAAAAGTACAATTACTCTAAGATTTTTCTGTAAAACAGTATTATTTACAGTGAGGTATTAAACCCCAAAGAGGGTATTCAGTGGTGGACTGGGAGTTCACAAAACTACAAGATAAATATGGTCTATCTTCCAGAAACAAGAATGTTACGATGCATTTTTCCAGGGGTTGGGGGACGTGGGGAAGGAGTAATTGGAGAGGTAGATTGGGGATGATCACTATTCTAGGAAAGCAAAGCATAAAGAGACTGTGACCATTAATTTTATGTATCAACTTGACAGATCCATAGGGTGTTTAGATATTTGGTCAAATATTACTATTTTTTTTAAAAGATTTTATTTATTTATTTGACACAGAGAGAGAGACAGCTAGAGAGGGAACAAAAGCAGGGGGAGTGGGAGAGGGAGAAGCAGGCTTCCCGCTGAGCAAGGAGCCCGATGCGGGGCTCGATCCCAGGACCCTGGGATCATGACCTGAGCCAAAGGCAGACGCTTGATGACTGAGCCACCCAGGCGCCCCTGGTTAAATATTATTTTGAGTGTGTCTTTGAAGGTATTTTTGGATGACATTAACATTTAAATCCTTAGATGAATTAAGCAGATTGCTCTCTCTAATGTGGGTGGGCCCTGTCCAGTCAGTTGAAAATCTAGTAGAACAAAAAGGCTGACCCTCCCTTGAGTAAGAAAGTCTATTGGTCAGCTAACCACCAACCGATCCAGACACGAGCCAGCCCTGCCAAGATCAGCCATGAAACCCAGCTGAAGTCGGCATAGATCCGCTGACCCTAAGCAACACACACCAGTAAGTGAAAATAAATGCTTAGTATTGTATGCCCCTGAGATGTTCTGGTTGTTATTACACAGAAATAGCTGACTAATACACATTTATGTATGTCTGTATTGGGTTGACATTATATGTGTATTGCACTGGGTTACAAAAGGTTTAAAAAGCCACCAGTCTAGTAAAGCACTATGTTTCTCCTTCATTCCTTGTTATTTAATGAGGCTTAAAGGAAGTTCACGTCTAGGAGTGGCTTCTTGCAGTATTGGAGAATGAAGGTAAACCCTGAGAAAATATAGCAGAGAGATGAGAAATGAGAGGTGTGCATGAGTGTATGCAAGAGATAGTCAGAGACAGTGAGAGACAGAGAGACTTAATAGCAATAAGGGTCCTGTACCAACTGCAAGCCCCATGAGCCACAAATTTGGCCCATGCTAAAGAGAATCACATTATTCTGATAACCAAAGTAATGAAATTAGATCAAGATGTAGCTAAGAGACCCTGTAGCCAAAAGGGAAGGGGGACAAAACATAGCACCATTGGTAACAGTTAATTTTTTAAAGATTTTATTTATTTTTATTTGAGAGAGAGAGAATGAGAGAGAGGGAGTACATGAGAGGGGGGAGGGTCAGAGGGAGAAGCAGACTCCCCACTGAGCAGGGAGCCCGATGCGGGACTCAATCCAGGGACTCCAGGATCATGACCTGAGCCGAAGGCAGTCGCTTAACCGACTGAGCCACCCAGGCGCCCCAGTTAATTTTTTAAAAATCCTGTATATATCCAGTAAATTGAGATTCTTCAGGAAACCTGTTTCTTTGTATTGTTATCTCTAGGAATATTTTATTCTAAGTAAAGGACCATTGTATAGATTTCAGGTGCTATCTCTTTGGTCTCTTTTTCTTTGACTTTATTTCTAATCTATACATTTAATAATAATAATTAACACCTGAATATTTATTATATGCCAGTGACTGGGGGGTGTGTGTGTGTGTCATTAATGTCTAAATACCAAATTTATAGATCATTCTACACATTATATTTTGATTACTATCTCTAGTCTACAAGAATATATATTAGGAACCCTTAATTTCATGAGCAGCATTTTTTCTAATACATTTTTAAGTTACTTTCTAGGATTATTTCCACAAATGGATTTAGTGTTAGTTTGTTTCCATTTCAGAGGTTGGCATATCTAATCTTATTCCCAAATCTTCAGATTACATCAGAATTTGGATCCTAGACTGATTTTAATGAATATGTTCTTTAAATGCCTTTTCAACTTTAAAAAAATTGATCTATGAATTCTATTTTGTAATTTATAAAACTGAGGGAAAGAAGTGAGTTAGGAAAGGATACTATGTATCAGGGCAGAGTTAAGATGTAAACTTTAAACTTGTCACTGTCTAGCCTTTTCCTTTTTTTAAATTTAGCCAACTAAATCATCACAAAATCACATTTGTATGATCTAGAAATTTAGCAAAACTGTTTAAATCACCTTCCCACTTTTATTATTTATTTAAAGATTTTATTTATTTATTTGACAGAGAGAGTGAGAGAGTACAAGCAGGGAGGAGTAGTAGAGGGAGAGAGAGAAGCAGGCTTCCTGCTGAGTAGGGAGCCTGACGCAGGGCTCAATCCCAAAACCCTGAGATTATGACCTGAGCTGAAGGCAGACACTTAACCATCTGAGCCACCCAGGCGCCCCACCTTCCCCCTTTTAAAAGTCAGGATATGTGTTCAAATATAATT